TCTTCCCCCCCCCCCCATCTCCTCCCTTTTTTTCTTTGTGTTGAAATCACTTTATTTTATACACTGGTCTGTGCAGTTCTTTTCATGACATCTGATGAAGTGAGCTCCAGCTCCCAAAAGCTTGTGCTATATATAGCTCTATTTTAGTTATTCTGTAAATTGCAAGCCCTATTCTGCCTTGTGCTGAATATTTGTGAGAGCCATTTACAACTTTATATTGATTCAGAAGGTTTCAACAATACAACTACCCATAATATATAAATATATTATTATATATACATTATATTATGATATATACATTCAACATTAGTCAGAATGTACATACTCCATTTTAGTCCGATGCACAGAGCATTCTGAATTGCACATCTCGGAAGATACAATGTTTTATGCTACTAATCTTGAATATCTGTTTTTTATGTTGTATTCTTTAAAAACATTTTTCTTGTTTATCCTAGGGGGAAAGAATGCAGACTCCTTTGAATCAAAATATTTGTGATATTGGTCATCTTTAAAAGTGCCCTCAGTTGTTTCTAATAATCTTTGTTCATCTTTCAATCACTATTGCATTTTTAATTTGTTTTAATTGTGTGTGGTGGGCACTGTAAAACATATTTTAAAAAACTAGGCCACAGTTAATTCAGAAACAGATTCCATATGTGTTGACATTGGCTACTCATGCCTACCCACCCCAGCTGTATGAAGTAACCAATGCTCAAAAGGGGTCAAACTCAGACAAGTACCATTTGTGTTTCATTTCCTTTTTGATTTCTTTCTGACTAACATTTAGTCTAAAAACAAGCATTTTTCAGCTCTGTTTTGGAGCTTCTTACTACTTTTCTGAATAAAAGGTAGCTTAGAAACTTTGGGTGTGCGTAGATGAAACGGGTCCTAAATTGAAGTGATGGGTTTAAAAAAACACTGCTTCAGTTTAGGGCTGATTAAACCCCCGTGTCATGTACACACCCCGCTGACTTCCCTGCCTCTCCAGCAGGGAGGGGAGGGTGAGCTGCTGGCAGGCGGAGCGGTCCCAGGGGTGGGGGGGCTGGTGCTTCCCTCCGCGGCAGCACCCACCCGTCGGCACCTGGCTCGGGTGGTCCTGGGGGCCACCGCAGCCACGGAGGGAAGCTCAGGCAGGCTCGGGGGAGGCGGGGCATGGAGATCAGGCTCACCGCCTTTTCTTGGGCAGAGCCTACTTTCCTGGGCTGCTGCCAGGCTGCCTGCAGAGCTTCCTGCGGAGCTTCGCAGAGCCCGGTACTTTGCTCTGTGGTTGTAGGGCCAGCAAACTAAAACTCCTTGAAGCGTTTTTAGTTTGCTGCCCCCCAGTCATTTAAGGGGCATTACACCACCGAATTTCCTCCAGCGGCTGGAATTAATGCGCAGTACGTCACCGAGGCATGCTAACACCAACACCATTAAAGCAGTGCAAGAAGCATGTAGCCCACTTTAAAGTGCCGTGCACATATACCTCTTGTTTCATCTACACATGGCCTTTGTTTCTATGCTGCCTCACACAAATGGCTGAGGGAAGGTATTTTCTATGTGAATTTGATTTCATAAAAATAATTGGTATGCCATCTCTTACATACCTCACAGGGGAAAACAGTTTAAGGCAGAATTGTGACATTAAAATATCATCTGAGTAAGCAGTAAGTGGTGCTGCCTTAGAAGCAGACCAGGGCACCAACTGTGATCTTGGCTCAGAAGAGCAAGGTCCCATCTACCTGAGCATAGTGGAAAACACTAGCTCCTCGCTCTGTCACTGGCAGTATGGGTCAGTCACAGTACCTGTGTTTCGCAGTGCAAGAGACTGTCTTATCTTTAATGTGGTTCTGGGTTTTCAAATTAATTTACATCCAGTATTGCTTAATCTATACATTATGCCTGTTGTGTGACAACAGATAAACTCATATATGTTTAGCGGTAGCATACAGACTTGCTATTTGAAATGTTTAGCAGAATCATAGCAAGATTATGCTAAAATCTCTCTCTCTCTTCCCCCCCACCCCCTTATAAAGCAGGTTGTTGCCTATAAAAGCTCCTGCATCTCTCAACCAGTTAGTCTCTAAAGTGCTACCTTGCCTTCTGCCTTCTCTAAAAATTAAGATACTGTTTGTGAAAGATAATTTGTAACAAACCAATGCAGTTGTTAGGAAACTTGTTTTATTCTTTTACTCTAGATTGGGTGGCCAACCTGCAGAACATGTATCACAGGTGGCATGGGCAGCCTCTATGGCTAAATACAGACATTCAAAAAGCCCAAGCCTGAATTGATTCAGTCTTTGCAGGTTAGTTTAACCTGCGTAGATTGAAGCAAGTTAATAGACATTCACATTTGATTCCGGAAATGCAGCCAGATGCCTGCAGTGGCTCGGGCTAGAAGCCAAGGGGTGCTAACATGAGCTGTCCCTCCCCTCTGACAGCAGCCAAAAGGCTGGAGGGAAGCTGGGGTTTAAACCCTTACTCTGGCCTGCAGGGACCCCAGCTGAGGTGTGCCTGGAGGGGGAAGGGGGAAGTAGCCCATGCCAGGTTTGTCCCTAAGGTGTGTTGGGGAGTGTGGCCAGACACCGGCTGAGGCAGTGCCTCAAGCGAAGGAGGGGGATTAAATCCACTTGCTTCCCCTTTCCCACCAGCACAGGGACCCCATCCTGGGTCTGCTGGGCTTTCTGCCCCCACCCCCTGTCACTTGCACGACAGGTAGAATGGCCAGAGTCAGCCCAGGCAGCAGCTCAGGTGAAGGGGTGGGGAGGGGGACTAAACCCCCCTGGCTGCTCCCTCTTCCACCGGCATGGGGACCCCAGCCAGGGTCTGCCTGGCTTTCCCCCCTAACTGGCTACTTGTGCAGCAGGGAACGTGGCTGGACCCAGCTGGGGCAGCAGCCTCAGGTGAAGGGGAGAGAGGGGGGTTAACTCCCTTGTCTCCCCCATCTCCCCACTCTCCCCCTGGCATGGGGACCCCAGCTAGGGTCTGCCTGACTTGCCTCCAAACTGGTCACCTGCACAGCGGGGGACATGGCCAGAGCCAGCCCAGGCAGCAGCCTCAGGCAAAGGGGAGGGGGATTAAACCCTCCTGTCTCCTTCCTTCCCCACTGGCATGGGAGCCCTAGCTGGGGTCTGCCCAGCTTTTTCTGCCACTGGCTGCTGGCATGGTGGAGGGCGTGCCCGAGCTGGCCCGGACAGCGCCTCGTGAGTGGCCAGCAGGGGGAAAGCCAGGCAGACCCGGGCTGGGGTCCCCATTCCGGTGGTAGAGGGGGGAAGGTAGGGGGCTTAATCCCCCTCCCTCTCTTCCTCCCCTTTGCCTGAGGATGCTGCCTGCCCTCTCTGGCTAGGCCCCCCACCATGTGAGTGGCCAGCAGGGGGGAAAGTTGGCCAGACCCCATGCCAGTGGGAAAGAGGGGAGGTAGCAGGATTTAATCCCACTCCCTCCCTTCCCTTTGCCTGAGGCTACTGCCTGGACATGCTCTAGCCAGGCCTCCTGCCACGTGAGCAGCCAGCATGGGAGAAAGCTGGGAGAGTCCCCTGGTGGCCGATCAACAAGGTGGGGGGGGGCCCCCCGGATGCCACCAGAAGCGCCAATGGCAAAACCAGAAATGCCCTCTGCTTCTCCGAGCCACTGCTGCATACCCCCTGGGGCCTTCCCAAAAACCCCCAGGGATATGCATACCCCTGGTTGACAACCCCTGCCCTAGGACATGCATCTAGTCAATTTTTTGAACAAAATAAAAACGTATTGGAAAAAGTAATATTGAGGAAAGGACACTTCTACTCATAAGTTTCATGTATAATAAATTTACAGTGTTGGAAGAAGGTATACAAATGCCCTTGAATGTGAAAATGTAAATTAAAGTCTTGTAACAATTGTAAGTGAATTCTATAAATTGGGTTTCATTTGGTATTTAAGGAGATGGGATAGTAAATTCATATGGTACAAATCAAGCAGTATTTCAATTTACTTAGTTATTGTATCGACCTGCTGGCAACCAGTGTTTAAAGTTTAAGACTGCTTTATATTTAGAAAAGCAAAAGACAACGTTTTAAAATTTGATCTGGTATATGGAATATTTATTGGTCTGTTGATTTTTCTGACCACTTCGGTTGTCATTTCTTAAAAGGCACTACACTTAAGGTTCCTTAAATTTAAATTATTCATTCAGAACTTTAATGTAATTGGAAAACTTAACTTAGTCTGTACTGTAGGAATTCATCATCTTCCAAAGAAATCCTCCTTTAACAATGTTAAAGGAGAATGTGATTGTCTCCTTTTATAATATGAATATTTGTGTCTGAAGTATAGCATCCTCATAGTAGTTTAAACCCTGATGTCCAGGGAAATCCTTAAGTGTTCTTCATGCGTAGGCAGCATCTACCTGTACAGGTCCCTTTACCTAGGTGGGATTTGTAGTCTTTAAACAGAAAGTTTCCGTCTTAAGGTGCTTTACTGCAGATGGATTACAGTAGTTTTTAATTCTGATATTAATAGCTAAATGGAAGGCCTTTTTTAATATAGCTTTATTTCTTGGGCCTGATTCTGTTATCATTCATGATGTTACTTCCTTTGAATCAGCTGAAGGATTCACAGAGTAATGTACTATTTATCCATCATAAGAGAGGAGGAAAGATTTGGGTGCCTTGAGGCTTCAGAAAGAATTTCTGTAGTGTGGAAGAAGTATGGCTAAATTCCCTCTTCTGCTTTGCAAATCTCAACCGCAATCTGGTTATTATTTTATTATAACCATGTGCTGGCAGCCTGAAACTCTGACCTATTTCCTTTCTAAAAGCTGCCACACAGCAAAAACTTCCTTAGGACAAAACAGCACAACTTCCCTTTTCTAGAGCCTTACCTTTATATGTAATTGATATTGGAAAAAGTTGTATGACAGTTTTATAATCTTGGGAATGTTTCCATAAATATTACTTGACGTGTCCAGGTATCTTAGGTGCCCATTTTTGTTAATCTAATTAATCTCCCTTTTTCCCTTTTTTTTTTTTTTTTTTTAAATTTAGCCCCCAGATAATGGGCCTCCACCATTACCAACATCATCCCTTCCAGAAGGCTACTATGAAGAGGCAGTGCCACTTAGTCCTGGAAAGGCCCCCGAATACATCACTTCCAGTAAGCAGTATATATCATATGGAGACCTAAACAATGGTCCACTGTAGTGACTTAATATTTTAGAACACACAGACTTTTAAATGAAAAGATAATTTCTTTTGGTATCCTTTAAAGTTAAGAATTATATGAAGTGTTTGTTATTGTCAGTATCTGTATGGGTAAATTATCACTAGTTTATGATTGGGCTCAGTTAGTCATATGGAAGACGCACACTCCAAGCAATTCTTTATGGAAGTAGCCAGTGATACTGTTCTCAACACTGATTCAGGATTGACTCTTGTGGTAGAGCACTTCCTACTGGTTCATCATTAGTACTGTTTATCTCAGTGCTGTAGTGTTCTTTACCACATCCAAATATTCAGTCAATCTGAGCTTGCTTAAATTGGGCTTTGAAATGGCTTTCAATAAACTATTATGCAGAATTAATGAACTGGACATTTACACACACTTGTTGAGAGTGTTTTTCCATGGATGTGCAAAGATTCAAAGGGCTGTTTTGCTATTAGCTGTCAAATGTTAAATCATTGTACATGACTGATTTGTTGCTGACTAAGTTTACCAGAATACTAGTGTATTTTATATAAGATAGTTTTAATTGTTCAAATGTTAATGGATAAATAAAATGCATCTTTCTCTCTCACAGCAGTTAAGTATGTCACCTTTGAACACCTGACAAATGATCTGTAGTCCATTTGTATATTAGAGGTCAGGGAGAGCCCTTCATTGTTGCATGGAAGATTACAAGTACACATTAGCTGTTAACATAAAAGTAAAACACAGGAAATTTGGCATTTATTCATAGAATCACTTCACATGGGAGAGTTGAGAAAAAGAAAAGAAGTTCCAGAAAATGTAAGAATGAAGATATGTGCAGTCTTAGCAAAGCAGGGTCATGCCACTCCCCACTTCTTCCTGACAAACACTTCAGGGTGGTCCTGCTACACCCAGTCTGAATTTCCAAATCAAGGTTGCTAAACAAAGCCCAGTTCATAACTTTTTTTTTAAACTACAACAAGGTATCCAAACCCACTGAAGCTTTTAGGATACATGGACCAAGAGAGTCATTCATTGGTGCTGCAACTTAAAAAATAAACACACAGCCCCCCCCGCCCCAACATGCATACGAGTATGTTATAACTTGTACTGCCTACATTTCACTGCAGTTCATTGCCATTTTGTATCTATGAAGTTCTCTTTTATTAAAAGTTATGTAGGAACATAAGTCTTGTCAACAATTCATAGTTTCATAGATGTTAGGGACTGGAAGGGACCTTACAGATCATTGGGTGCAACCCCCCTGCACTTGGGCAGCAAGGACTGCTGGGATCAGATGGCCCCAGCAAAATGGGCGTCAAGACGCTTATTGAAGATTGCCAGGGTAGGTGACTGTACCACTGTACAACAGGGGGCAGCCTGTTCCAAACCCTCGGCACTTAAGAAAAAACTTCTTTACAAGTTATGTCAAGCCTGAAGCAATCTTCAATCAGCTTGTGCCTATTATTTTTTTTTTCCTCTCCTGGGGGGCCTTGGTGAATAGATGCCCACCCCCCCAGGCCCTGATGTATGCCCCTGATATACCTATAGGCTGCCACCAACTCCCCTCTGGGTCTTCTCTTCTCCAGGCTGAACTGTCCCAAGTCTTTCAGCCTGTCCTTGAATGACCTGGTCTCTAGGCCTCTAATCGTGCATGTGGCCCTCCTTTGGACTCTCAAGCTTCTCCACATCCTTCCTGAAGTGTGTTGCCCAGAACTGGGCGCAGTACTCCAGCTGCGGTCTCATCAAGGCCAAGTAGACCGGGAGGATGACTTCCTTAGCCTTGCTCAAGATGCCTCAGTAGATGCATGCCAGCGTTTGATTAGCTCTGCCAGCTGTGGCATCACATCGGTGACTCATGTTCATTTTGCTATCATGACACCCAGGTCTCATTCAGCTGTGGTGCTGGCAAGTAGAGGACTGCTGGGCCTGTAAGTGTGTTGTAGATTACTTCTCCCCAGATGGAGCACTTTACATTTTGTTATCTGTAACTAATGGCTAAATTATGCCCTGGGGGGTCAGCCTGCCAACCTAGGACTGCTCTGATCAAGCTCAATGCATTGTGGAGAGGCTGACTGGAGCACAAGGTGCTTCAGGGTGGGGTTAGCCATCGGGCATCCCCAGCACTGAAGCACCCTTGTACCCCAGCCAGCCCTGCCAGTGGCTATGTGTCATAGGATCAAAGAACATTAGGGTTGGACGGGCCCTCGGGAGGTTATCTAGTGCAACCCCCTGCTCAAAGCAGGACCATTCCCAACTGTATCATTCCAGCTGAGGCTTTGTCTAGCCAGGTCATAAAAACCTCCAAAGATCGAGATTCCATCACCTCTCTAGGTAACCTGTTCCAGTGCTTCACCACCCCCCTAGTGAGAGTTTTTTTCCTAATATCCAACTTAAACCTTCCTTACTGCAACTTGAGACCATTGCTCCTGGTTTTGTCATCTGTCATCACTGAGAACAATCTAGCTCCATCCTCCTTGGAAGCCCCCCTTCAGGTAGTTAAAGGCTGCTATCAAATCCCAGCTCCCTCAGCCTCTTCTCAGAAGTCATGTGCTTCAGCCACCAAACCATTTTCATTGCTCTCTGCTGGACTCTGCAACTTGTCCACAGATGCTGTTGCTGTAGCTACAGCCAGGTAAAACTGCCCTGCACACAGGGTAGTGCCATGTGCGTGCATCCCTCCTGCATTAGGGCTCTCTGGTAATCTTAAAAGCAGACAGGATTGCTGTAGCCCTTACCACTACACACCTCCATCACTCCTAGAAACAGAGGCTTGCAGGTGAAACTATCTCAAATGCCTGTTTCTGGGAGGAGCTTGGGGTGTGACCAGGGAGTACTACAGCTCACGCCAGCAGTCCTGTCGGCTTTAGGGTTGTCAGAGAGCCCTACGGGAGGAGTGTACACCATGCCACACAGCCTTTTCCAGGCTGGTTGTGCAGCAAGCATGCAGGGTGGCTTTACCTGCAGGCAGTAATGCCTGGCTGAGAAGCACCTGTTAGGGCAGCACTGATTTTTTTCAATACTATCTAACCTCAAAAATTATCCTGAGTGGTTCTCAACTGAAGGTGCCACCACATTTTAAAAAGTGGTGGTGGGGGGTGCCCTACTCTGCTGTTGAGAGAAGGAGTTGTCTCCATCTTCCTTGAGACCCCCTTATCTACTGGGTGTTTGGTTGGATGTCTGTACTGCATTGTCTTTGTTTGTTTAGTTCCCTGGCTGATGCAGAAGTGATAATGAAGTAGGATCCCTGATTACTCCATGCTTGTCGTAGGTCTGCTCTAATTCACTGCCTTCACAAGCAGTATCAGCTGAACAGACAGCCTTCTTATTAGATTTCCTATTCTTGTAGTAGGTTTTTGAGTAGTAGTTGTTGGTCCACTCATGCCCAAAAGTCCATGCCCTTTATGTGCCAGCTGACCCACATTTTGGTGCCCCAGAAGCCAAGTTGCACCCCAGTGAATGCCACAAGCAGGGGAGGCCTGGCAGAGCCCCCTCCCTGCCCTGACACCTCCAGTGACACATTACCAGAGGAGGGGACCTTGGGCCTTCAGTCTGCCACCCCATCTTCCTCCCTGGCTGCTGCATCCACTGGCAGCTCAGGGAAACCTGCCCTCGGCACAGCGGTCTGAATGTGCCAGCTGTGCCAGTGGCACACCAGAGACTGGACCCTGCTGCTCTAGTGGCTGGTGGTGATGACGGAGAGACAGGAGCAGGCATGGTAGCTGGAGGAGCAGACGTGGGAGGTACAGGAGCAGGCCTGGTGGCTGGAGGATGTTGTCTGGGTGGAGGCGCAGGACCAGGCACAACAAGACCACTGGGCCCACATGGAGGACCTGGAGCAGGAGTGCCTGGAGCAGCTCCAGTAGTGGGGGGACACCAACCACCAGGCAATGGAGACCATCCTGGCCCTGGTACCTGCGTACATGTCCCCTGCTGTCTGGCCCCCACCCATGGCCCCACAGGGCCCCTAGGTCTCACTTGCCACCCTGCAGCAGGCCCTTCCCTGGCCCTAGGAGGAGGTCCTAGAGAACTTCCTGCCTGCCATCCCCCCCTGGCCTGGCCCCCTCCCCCTCAACTCCCCACTCTGAGCTGGAACAGCCAAAATATTGTAAATAATTTTTAGTACGTGTATAGTTTATCTTATGTATATCGTTGGCCTCTTGTAAGTGGGTTTTTTATTGTTGGTGGGTGGGGAGTGTGGTGGAGGGGCACTGTTCGTTGAGGGGGGAGGGGTGCAGGTGGGGATTGTGAGGGCATTAAAGTTTTTTTGTTTCACCCTTGTGTGTCCTGAGTGGCACTGCAGAGGGTAGAGGGTGTGTGGGCGGCAGGGCAGGTGGGCTTGAGTGGGGAAGTGCAGGAGGAGGGGATCAGGCAGGGCCCCCATTGACACGTGTGCATCTGTCCGGGGGCCTGGGTGGGGTGCTGCTGGGGCCAGCGGGGGCAGCACCATGCCTAGTGGCAGGGCAGGGGGGTGGTCGTCACTAACAGAGGTTGGGCTGGAGCAGTGCTGGGCACCACTGGCAGGGGCAAGGGTAGCCCTAGTACGGGGAGGCAGGGTGGGAAGGGAGGGAGCTGGCCCATTCTGCCCCTGTGCTGGGCGCACAGCTCCTCTGCAGAAAAGGGGCTGGCTAGAGATCAGAGCTTCCATGATGGCTGCCAACTGCTGGCAGCCATGTGGCCTAGGATGGAACTCCCCCTGGTGGCCACAGGGGCACATGGCATGGCTGAAGGGACTTGCAGCTAACTTTAGTGCCAAGTGCGTTAACTTTTGTCCAAAGTCCCTGCTAAAAATTCCTTAATGCACATTAAATTTAGTCACGTTTATTTGAACATGTAGATGCACCCATTGTGTCCTAACTCCACAAGATCTCTTAATTTGAAAGAATGGAAGAGAGGCCATTTATGGCCACCTAAAGTATTGTGGGAATGAAATGGGATTCTAGCAGCTTGCCCCTTAGGTTATGCCTCTGTGCAAAACATGTTCCTCAGGGAAACATCTTCAAGATGTAAATGTAACTACTGAATCTACATTCTCACATTTCATTAACCTTAACTTTTTCTCGCAAACAGGTAAGTATATGTTAGTAGTTACCTCAATGAACTTCTAAGTATTTCCTGATTTGTCACTGTAAACTTTCATGGAATTTACCAGATAACCAGTGCAAAAATCTATTTTTGTTTAGGCTACTTAATCTTGATCCTGGGGGAGGAAATTAAGAGGGATGGAGAAATAGGAGAAAACCTGGCAGATCTTTCATATTGTTTTAAATGAGCATGAGCGAGTATGCACTTTTTTGTATAAAACTTCTTCCCAATCTATCACTTTAAGTTAAATAACAGAGAACCTTTAGCTTTCCTGCCTATACCTTGATTTCCATTTTCCGGGTTTTTTTTTAACACAATACACATATACATACAATAATAGCAACACAATATTTTAACGCAAAATCGCATTGTATTTTTTTTCTTATTTGAAATGTTGCAGATTTTAGCTATTTGTTTTGCATTCAGCTATTTATAAGCCATACTACTCCATTGGGGGCAATAAGTCTGTTCCATGGCAGCATTCAGTATTTCAGAATTTGTATTCGTTTGGTGATAGAAGGAAAGGAAAAATAAACATTTAAAAAAAATCTTTAGTGAGTAAAATGTGTCAAAATATGTGGTTTTGATCCTGGAATAGATTGCTGAAGCATGTGTAAGTATCCATTTATCCACCTAGGCATTTCAGGTACTGGTCTGGATTGCTGTACTCTCAAGTTGAAATCCCTGCTCTGGTTGATTCAAAGCAGTTTTTCATCCTAAATATCTCTTGCATATCCCTAGCTAGTACCCTAAGCATCTGACTACAGTCTAAAGCCCTGGGGAGGTGGCACACCTAAGATGTGATTAACAAGATAATCGTGTTAAGTCATAAGCTGGACACACATTAGTGCAATAAAAGGAACACGCAACAAAGATATTACATATATTACACATGCATTAATATTAGAGCTGCACCAATACATCAGTCCACTATCGGATTGGTATCAATATAAAGAAAATTAGCTGTATCAGATATCAGCCTGATGGGGCCGATAATTTGGCCGATAAATGCCCGTGCTGCAGGCAGCCACAGTGCAGCACGCAGGCAGCGAGGAGCAGAGCTGCCACCTTGGAGAGCTGCCTGCGGCTGGTAAGTTGGAAGGAGAGGGGGGAGGGAAGGGATGTGGCGGGGATCGACACCTCCTGTGGTGATGGAGGGAGGGGGTGGGAACAGGCACTGCCCAGCTGGGGCGAGTAGCACATGGGATGAAGCCACAGCTCATGGGAGGGGGTGGCTCCCACCACTGCTTGCGCCCCAGGAGGGCACGGGGGGGGCGCGTGCCCCCGGATCTGTGGGGGGAGGGGGAGTGGGCTGCAGCTGCAGGCTCATACCAGCACTGCAAAGGGCTCTTCTTAGCAGGGTGGGGCTCAGAGCAGGCATCGGCAGCCCTGCAGCCACCCCAAATTTTGCTGCAGCTCCACTGTGCTCCAGTAGTCACCTGGTGCAGTCCCGGCTCTTCCTGGCATGTGGGTGGAGGTTAACTTTATGGCTGGTTCCCATAGTTCCCTGAAGGACTCCAGCACACCCCTGTGCTGCCATCATCCATCAACTTACTCTTGCACCCAGCTTCAGGGATGCAACAAAGCCCTTGATTGATGCACCCCTGAAGCTGGGAGCCCAATTAGCAGCCACTCCCAGCCTTTGGAGCCCTCAACTCCAGCGCTTTCCCAAGGCTGGGAGCGGCAGTCAGCTGATAAGTGCTCTGAGTTTCAGAAGAATATGGGGGTCAAGAACTCCCATGTGTTTCTGAGGCTTGGAGTACTGATCAGCTGATGCCTGGCCATACGTTCAATTTAAGGCATGGTTGAGACCAGCCACACAGTTGCTACACACACGTTTTGTTTAATACCAGATTTACATGAACAGATGACCCTGATTATAAGGTGGCCCCCCAATAATTAGATAATCTATATAGAAAATTTGTAAATTAGTTCTAATTTTCCAGGTATACAATCTAATTCTTGGAGGCTTGCCTTGAATTTGTCCCTCTCCATTATAAGATGAGGGGCTTCTTTCCCCTACCCTGGGGGTCTTCAAGAGGAGGTTAGATGAGTATCTAGCTGGGGTCATCTAGACCCAGCACTCTTTC